CTCCTGAAGTTGGGTCTCTCAGAGAGAGAACGTGCATTTCATATAAACAACGTCATCTTCCCTCCACCTCCGCTTCCATTTTGGAATCCAGATCTCTCCCCCTGCCCCACCACCACTTTACATGGGCTCCCAGACTGTTTCTGAGGAAGGAAAACATTAGGTTTCAAGAAATGTGTTCACCTTATAATTAACCCTTCAAGTCCCAGTCTGATACCTCAGGTCATTTCCCACAGCACCAGTGATCATTAGACAAGGTAGTGTCTAATGGAAAGGAAACAAGTTCTAGTCTAAACTCATTGAGTGACCTCAGTTAATTTAACAAATTCTACTTGTTCTGCTATGTCAAGCAACATGACAAAGTACATAAAATACATGAACAGGTTATGGCTTCAAAAGGGTTCACAAGTCTGGTGGGGCTCTTAACAGGCAGGGGAGATGTGATGACAGATGGCAGCACATGATCAGAGCCAAAGAGAACAACCTCTGGAAGAGCAGAGAAGAGGGGAAGATCACTATCGGCTAAATCTCAGATCGTGACTGACTGATGAGATTTCAGAATAAGCCATGTTCCGGATAAATGAAAATAGAAAAACACTCCAAGTTCACGGCAGGGCATTTTTCTCAACTCTCCTCCCCAAAATTAGGACCCTATCATTTCAGTTTTTCATTGATTTGACAAATAGCAATGGAACACTTGTGTGCCAGGTATTGTGCTAGGCTCTGAGGCAATGACTGTGAATGAAACATGGCCCTTGCCCGCATGGGCCTTGTGGTCCATAGGGAACCACAGATAAATACGAATTTACAGGATAAAAGGTTGTCATGACCCTCCTCCAGTCAATACTCTGATTTGCTTCAAAATAGATTAAAACAAGGAAGGAATCCCCTATGGGCATAATCCAAAGTCACAGAAAAACACTAGGATGGATTTTTTTTCAGGCTCTTTGTTCTTGCTGGACAAGTTTGTAGAGGAGAACTGGGTAGAGATGGGACATGGAGCAAAGGTCAGCAGGCAGTCCTTTGACTTTGATGACAAAGTCTCCCAATGCTTTTCCCAAGACCTTGCCTCTGCACTGAATGCCAAGGTGAAAAAAGCTCTGGGAGCCATTTCCCTATCACTGTCTCTCTGCTGTTACACTTAACGTCCCTGTCTTCTCAGGAAATGGGAATAAGTAACAACTGCTCAACACTTTCTCCCAGGGCTTTGGAGGAGCAAATGAAGGAATCTGAGTAGTTTATGCCAACTATGAAAGGCTAAACAAATTAGTGATGGTATTACCATTATCAGCAACACCTGGACCGGCCAAAGGGCAGCGGCATGAAGAGAGATGCCTTCCACAAGCTGCCTCCAGATAAAGAACCTGCAGTTAAGCCGTACTGGCAGCCTTTCTCTCCAAAGCCCCCGCTAAGGTCTACACCAAAGCTAGGAAGATTTTCTTTTTAAACAATGCCTGCTGTGTTTAATAATATACTTAACACAGTTGTGGTTGTGACAAGAAAGGGGAATAAGGTAAACTCTCTAAGCAGCAGTTTGGGATGTTTATAAAGCACTGCCACACTGTAGGTTTATGAAACCCCACTCAAATGTTTGTAACATAGGAAACTGCCGTTTGAGAGCTCTCTGAGACTCCTGGCATGGACTCGGTGTCTTGCTCCCTTGTGGATTCCCATCAAGATGGGAAATACAGGCCATTGAACAAAGCTGGCAGCATTCCCAAATCTTTTTGACCCTAGAGTCAAATCCTCTGATTGATTTGGGGTAGGAGGAGGGAGAGGGCAATGCTTCATGTTCCTTGAAGGCTGGTTATTGACATCAGCCAAGCACCGTCCTAGACATTGCATGTCATTTAATGCCATCTTTCCCACTGGACCATTGGCTCAAGGAGGGTAGTGGGCATTCTGCCTCGCCCTCTGCTGGCCACCACCACTTAACCAATGGTAAGCTGAGTAAAGCATCATCAAATAGGTTGAGCCCTTCAGTCAAACAGCTTTCCAGGTGGGCATTTTGATCCCCAGTTTACGGATAAAACTGAGGCTTCAGTTGCTTGGGGATATTGTTCAAGGCAAGAGAGTGTGTCTGGCTTAGAGTCTGGATACTACATACTCTGTCTGCTCCTAGAGTTTACAATCCCTCACGCATCCCATATTCCTAAGAACCTACTCTCTCAGAGGCCATGGATTTTATTGTTTTAAACCATTTTTTTTAAGTTTCCATTCTATTGTATTTAAAAACAGATTCTAATCAAATATTATTAGGATTACACACAGGAGTAATTATGTTATAGATCTTTTGGTCCTATTTCCAGATTTTATGTATAAATCAGTCCTAAATTCATGGGAGAACTGAAATGTGACATAGGTCAAATATTCATTCAACCAACATGTATTAAATGCCCATTACATGGCACACTGGGGGCTAGAGGCCTGAGGTAAAAAGATGAATTAACATGGTTCCTGTTTTTCAAGAACTTACAGTCTCTGACTGAACCATTTTTTCCTTTAAAAATTTATTACAAAAGTGAAACATAATGACTGCAGAATATTTGGAAAGCCCATATAAGAAAAAAAAAATCACCCAATGTTAAGATGTTTTATAAATCCTAAGGTCAGAACCTATGTCTTAGTATCTCTGTATCCACAAAATCGTACACCATCCTGTGTGCTGCAGTCACAAAGAGTCGGACACGACTGAGCGACTGAACTGAGAAGCAAGCAGTATTTTTTGAATGGGGGGACAGCCCCTCTCCATCTCATCACCCTGAGAAAACCACTGTTAACGTTTAGGAAATATTCCTAGTTTTCCTTGACTGTGAAATGACTGATTCCATGTCATCCTCCCACTTCACCTAAGCCAGGTGGGTCAATTTCTGGCTTCCTTAGCAGCCCCTGCAAATGATGCTGTGCCGCCCATCAAGTATACTGGTAGTTTAGTTACCTTTTCAACTAGAGCAACTCTTCACACTTCTCCTCCCATGGTCTGGGGTCTCCTTACGTAGATGGGGTTTCAAAAGTGTGGGAAAAGCAGTCCCTTTACCATATGGCCCATGCACCCCCCACCCCACCCAGAAAAACGTCAGGGGCAGGAAACTGGTCTATCCGAGATTGGTTTCCTTGGATTGAGGGTAACTTTTACCAGCCTTCCTCAACGGGCTGCATGTTGATTCACCTGTGTTTTATTTATTTTTTTTAATTTAATTTTATTTTTTTTTTCCATTTATTTTTATTAGTTGGAGGCTAATTACTTTACATCATTGCAGTGGTTTTTTCAAACATTAAAATGAATTAGCCATGAATTTACATGTATTCCCCATCCCGGTCCCCCCTCCCACCTCCCTCTCCACCCGATCCCTCTGGGTCTAGGGATGTTTCAAGAGAACAGCATCGAAACATGTATACTATCTAGGGTGAAACAGATCATCACCTGTGTTTTAAAACTGCTGATCCCAACCAATTAAAAGAGAATTTCTAGGCATAAGGCCCAGGCATTGGGATTTTGTGTGTTTTTAAAGCCACCTGGGTCAAGGAGTGAGAACCACCGGTTTAAAAGCAGACAGGGCAGTGGTGTGAGTGGCCTTGGAGACTAGCAGAGAGCCCTGTGGTGGTCAGAATCATGGACACTCAGCTCTAGGACGAAGCATTACAGCAGTTTCCTGCAGCCTGTTTCATGAAAAACCTGAGTGGTAGATGCAGGCAAAAGGTTTGCAGAGAGGAACTTGGAGGAGGAATATCTTTTTCCAAAGGGCTTGATGGATGCCTCTATAAGGCAAAACTGCACAGAAACCAAGTTGACCTGTGACTATGGTAAATCAGGAAGATAAGTGTGACTGCCCCAGTGGGCGGTTTGCCAGGCCTACAAGCTTCCTGCCTTCTTTATGAAGTAAAGAAGAATTTTGCAAAATAAACTATTAGAGATAAGCCACTGCAACAATAGGCCTCTTAGCAGAAGAGAGATGATTAGAATTAAATAATCTTTATTTAAATAGTCATTGAATACTTGTCAAGCATTGTGCAATATACATAGTGTCATTTAATCTTCATGATAACACTTTGTACTAGGTATTATTTATCCCCAGTTTATAATGAAGGAAAGTAATGGTAGTAAAGTTTAAATGACTAGGATAAAATCACATAAAACAAAAGAAGTGAGCCCCAGCCTCTTCTACTCTGTACCAGGTTTCGTTCACCCCACCCAGCTTTGTGACCTAGACTCTAGGATTAGAGGTCATACAAAAGATGGGAGAAAAATCAAGGCAATCATATTTTCAAGAAGGGGTAATGGCCAGTGGACTGGAAGTTTTCCCTTCCGTGAGCTCCATGCTGTCACATGGCAGACAGCTTGGTATGTCCAAAGGGCACCAGTAGGGCCTCCACCAACCAGCCACATGACCAGCCAGGACACCAGGGCAGCCCAAGTCTCCGTTTCCTCGCCTAGGCAGACAGGAGGGCGGTTCTGTGGTTTTCAAGCTGCCTCTGGAGACTTGGGCCACGGGAGGAGTTCTGGGAGGGCAGGATGAAGAAGTGGAACTTTCCTTTCCCCTCAACAAGTCAAACTCTGCATTTAGCTGCTGGGAGGAAATGACTGGATTCTTGTCCAGCACCCTTCCACTTTAACAGATGTCAGGTCCTCTGTTTTTGAATATCCCCAATGCTGGGAAGAATCAGTGCCATCACGATGCTTGAGTGAATGTCAAGGTGGAGGAGAATGGGTTTTCATGCATATAACAGGGAGGAAGGGCAAGTGAGGAGGACAGCAAGGCCAGCTCTGCAGTCACAGTACACCCGCCTGGGCCCACTGCCCAGAGGGAGTGTGAACAGAGCCGATGGGAAGGCAAATCAGGTACCCTTGTCACTGCCATAGTGCTGCGGTCACAGACTGCAGGGGCTGGGCTCAAGGCTTCTCGCCCCAAATTGTGCTTTCATCTTGGTCACTACGATGAGTCTCCTGTTCTCTTTAAGTAGCTTAGGATTTAAGCAATTTTCTGTTTCTTTGTGTTTTTCAGATCTTAAATCCAAATTTCATCCAAGAAGGTGAGTTAAAAAGTGACAGAATTGACTACACAGGGATTGGCTAAATAAATTATGGCAAATCCAGCACTGAGGTAGCTGAGGTAGCATCTTTAAACAATGGTCATGTAGTCCTGTACTTATGGACAAGGAAAATGTTTAGGATAAACAGTAGGGTAAAAAAGACCACAACTTGCAACATGTATAATGGGATCCACTTTTTGTAAGAAAAGATATATTTCTATAAAATCTAAAAGGATATATATCAGACTGTTCACGGTAACCTCTGAGTGATGACATCATGGAGATTGTCCTCTCTTTTTTTAAATCTATATTTCCTAATTTTTCTAAAACTATACATTTATTAATGGCAACCCATTTCAATATTCTTGCCTGGAGAATCCCATGGACAGAAGAGCCTTGCGGGCTACAGTCCATAGGGTCATACACAGAGTCGGACACAACTGAAGCGACTTAACATGGCATGGTACTTTACAAATACTTTTTCATAGGACACAAGTGACTCTGCTCTGTTAAGCTGAAGATTATTCGAATCATTACACAGCAAGGGTGGGGAATGAGAGGGTCATGTTATAAAATAACTGTTTTGTTCTGTTTCTTCTGAATAATGCAAATTTATGTCATGTTGATTTGACCACAGTGGCGCCAGAATTCCTTGTGCCTTTAGTGGATGTGACCTGCTTGCTTGGGGACACAGTGACACTGCAGTGCAAAGTCTGTGGGCGGCCAAAGCCCACCATCACTTGGAAGGGTCCAGACCAGAACATCCTTGACACTGACAACAGCTCAGCTACATACACCGTCTCCTCCTGGTAAGCAGCAGCCCCACATCAACACCACACCTCCCCACACCTCGGACAGTACCCAGAAGCTAAGTCTGGGATGCAACTCCTGTTCAGGTTACTTAGTCTCTCAGAGAAGAGCTGCCCTGGAACCTGTTCTAGCACAGACCCTTTGTGGCCCTTGGGATCCTATGAAACAGTGATATACTCAATTCCTCCATTAAGAACAATTTTCTTAGAAGGAAAAAAAAATTACTTACTCCAAAGTATACAATAGAAAACAGAAAATCCAGCCACAAGTATGCTTCCACACAAAGACTATAAAATCAAACTTGGTTGAACCAAAAGTGAAAGTGTTAGGCACTCAGTCGTGACCAACTCTTTGCAACCCCATGGAGTGTAGCCCACCAGGCTCCTCTGTCCATGGGATTCTCCTGGCAAGAATACTGGAGTGGGTTGCCATTCTGTTCTCCAGGGGATCTTCCTGGCTCAGGGATTGAACCTGGTTCTCCTGCATTGCAGGTAGACTCTTTACTTCTCAGTCACTAGGGAAGTCCCACTAATTAAGAACTTTCTTAAACAATGCTGCTTACAGAGGACAAGCAGTCACAAGCCCTAGATGCTTAAAAAACATTTATGGAAGAAACAGCTAGGATCAAGTCACTTCAACCTTTAGCTTAATGTTTTTGTGTGTGAAATGATATTCCCAGCAGAGACTCTATGGCCTGATCCTAAAATATCAGTGGACCCAGGGAGCTTAGGATGAGAGTCAGTGCGTGGCAAGGGTCATGAAGATTACCATGTTATGTCACAACCAGTGAGGAGGGAGTGGGACTGACTGTGACCTCTGGGTTTAACCTTTTCAGAGCAGTTCTTTAATGTCCTGGACCCCAGGCTGGGACTACTGGGAAAGTTATTTAGTGAAGGAATTTGCCTTAAGTCACTCAATTATTTTGAGGGTGCCACATGTAGAATGTGAACTACTTGAACATTTTCATTCTTTAGTCTTTCCATTTTTTGTACCACTTGTTATTGCTTATGGACTGAAAGTATTTTAGGACCAAATATTTTAGGTAGTAATAGTAATATTGGGAATCAGTATTTGTATAGGTCTTTATTTCAAACCATGTTCTAATTCTTCTCATTTTACTCCTTTACCATCCCTCATTTACAACCAACTTAAGAGATAGGCATGCCAAGAATTTTGTTCCTCTATATGGAATTGGGGAGATAGAGGGCAAGGTGCTCAGCTAAGGTGTGTAAGAAGATAACAAACGGGGACTAGACCTTGGTCCAAAGGACTCAGCTCAGCACACCTTCTACCTTTCCTAGTTGATTGTCTCATTGCTGGTATTTGAAGGACATCCTTTTCATGTCCCTAGTGATTCTGGGGAAATCACCCTGAAAATCTGCAATCTGATGCCCCAAGACAGCGGTATCTATACCTGCATAGCAGCAAACGACCATGGTACTGCGTCAACATCTGCTACCGTTAAAGTGCAAGGTACAGTTTCTTTGTTAGTCAAATATTTCTTGTGCTTTAATATTCATTTTTAATTATGGTAAAATACACATAAGATGTACCATCTTCACCAATTTCCAGTGTGCTGTTCAGTAGTGTGAAGTACACGCACACTGTTTTGTAACCCATCTCCAGAACTCTCTTCATTTTATAAAGCTGAAACTCTGCACCCTTGAAACAAAGTATCTCTACTTCCCCCTCACTCCCCTCAGCCCCTGACAACCACCATTCTACTTTCTATGAGTTTGTGTTAGTCAAACATTTTAACTGGACATTACAAGGGTTCCCTGAGACCTGGGGAAGAGGGGCATTGTGTGAAAGTTTCAAAACAAGGTTGCAGCAAATGGGAACAGAATGAATCTTTGATAAGAGTTGTCCGGGCCCTACTGTAGGCCTCCTACAACACAGTTCTCTCACTGAGCTTTCTGTCCAGTATGCAGCATTTAGTCCAAGGAAGAATTCCGACAGCAAGGTGTGTCTCCCAAGTCTCCCTTAGCCTAGGAAAGATGTACCATTTGGTGCACAAGGTCACAGGAAACATATGAGGTAAAGGTTAGGTCATGCCCTAGGTGATTTTCAGCCTTGGCATAAATGCCAAGTTCTGCAGAAATGGCATCTGACCCTAATTTCTCTCCCGCAGGCGTTCCAGCGGCCCCTAACCGCCCAATTGCCCAAGAGAGAAGCTGCACTTCCGTGATCCTCCGCTGGCTGCCACCATCCAGCACGGGAAACTGCACCATTTCGGGTTACACCGTGGAGTACAGAGAGGAAGGTGCGCCGCTTCCCCTGCCTCCTCTTCTATCTTCTCTTTCTCCTAAGGAGGTCCTTCCGAGTCATAACACTGTCTGCTTCCATGCCTTTCATCAGCTGTCCCTTCTCATATCTTCCAACTCAGCACCAAGGCCTCAGGCCAGGCTTCAGCTGCTTTTGATCTCAAACACCGAGCAAGATTTTTTGCCAAAATGATAATAACTCATGGCAGGTGACAAAGTACCTTCACCTGCTCTTACCTACTTAACAAGCCTGATCACCCAGACAGGGACAATCAGGCCTATTTTACAGGTGAGGAGGCTAAAGCTTAAAGAAAGTTAAGAAGCATGAAGCTGGGGTTCTTAAGAGGCAGAGCTGGCACAAGAACCCAGTTCTCTATTAATAGTTTGTTAATCTGTGATCTTTCTTCCAGAGTAGTAACTAGGAGAGCAAAAGCAATGCTCCACCCCACCTCACCCTTCATCTTCACCTCTAGACGAAACTTAGAGATCACTGTATAAATTTAGAGATCACTTTTTAAATTGTTCAGTTTTTAACTTTGTTACATTTACACACTAAGAGTGCATATATATCCTTAGTAGTTAGGAACAACTATTATCAAGAAGAATTCACTGAAATGAGAAGCTGCCAGGTAACTCTAATTGTTAATAGCACTCTCTGAACCAGGTGATGAATCACACTCCTGAATTGAAAGCAATGGTTTACAGAATCCTCTGTTTTGCTCTGCTCTCTGTTACTCTTCTTATTTTCACCCTTCTTTCCCTCTGCAGTTATATTTGTCCATCTCTTTGTTTAGCTGTTCACTCTGTCTCAACTCAGCACAAAGGCATTGATGCTGAGCTGAGAGACACGTCTCTCCAAGCTTGTATTTCCCTTGGCATTCTTCAGGTCATAGTTCATCTTATGAACTAAGTTCTCTTGGGAAAGTTATGTAATCTTTCTGAGCCTCGGTTACTTTATGTGTAAAGTGATACGATTGCTCCCGATCTCATAGGGCTTCTGTGGATTTAAGTGACAACGTGGAATGAGAGAATTATGGGTAGACTCCTTCCACGGTATTTTACATGTACATGGTGCACAGTACATGTTCATTTCCATTCTGTTTCCATTTTCAAATGCCTGTTTTCTCTCACTTTGTTATTAATGTACAATATATTTTTCTGGCCTTATTGAAAATGTGCTGTGTGTTCCTCTAAATTCGTCTTGCTCTGTCTTTCACTCTCTCACGTGCCCATTTGGAAATGAACAGACTCTACAGGCCAGCTGCTTTAACACCACTCATGATGTATTCAGTCTCTTAAGAAATCGAACCCAGACCTGCCACAGTTAGCCAACAGGCTTTCAAGGCCCAAGGCAGTGACCACAACTGTCCCTTGAATGGAATGTGTCATTTTTCCTTTCATTGTTTGCTGAAGGTCTTTGAAACAATGTCCCTCTGGCCTTTTCTCTTTCCCACTCCTCGAAAATTGTGCCCTAGGTTCCCAGGCCTGGCAGCAGTCAGTAGCATCGACCTTGGACACCTACCTTGTCATTGAAGACCTCAGTCCTGGGAGTCCTTATCAGTTCAGAGTCAGTGCCAGTAACCCCTGGGGGATCAGCCTTCCCAGTGAGCCCTCAGAATTCGTGCGACTTCCAGAATACGGTGAGTCCCAGCCACACCCAGCACCCTGGTGGTGAAGACAAGACAACTGGCCAGTTGTCATATACTCACCAGCCCTGGCAGCCCACTGGCCTGCTGGGCCATTGAGCTAGAGCTGACCTGGATTTGCTTGTTGGCTTCTATCAAGTAGCATTTCAGAGGCCTGATGAAGAGTGTTTCCATAAAGTATGGGGCTCAAGTTAGATCTGCCACCCATGTCTCCCCTAGGCCTACCATGTCCTGGGCACCTGTGTGTGTTGCCAGGCACCCAGAGGGGCAGACAGGAGCCATGAGTCCCATGGGTGCTACTTGTTCCGCTTCTGTGATGGAAACACCATGCCTCCTCTTCCCTGGGAACCCCTGCCAGACTAAGTGCACCTCACAGAATTAGTGACAGCCCCACTCACCAATTTAAAATGGGTAAAGGAAAGCCACCTGCTGGAAGGTTGGAGTTAAAATGAGTATCATTTCTCCACCCCCAGCCCTCCCAGAATGTCTTTCTTCAGGGTGGATACATTTTTAAGTAGATATGTTGAATGACTAAGATATGCATTTAACTAGCTGCATTTGAGTATTTTACAAACCTGATTCTTTTTTTGCCCCTCTATTCATGAACTCACCAAGCCACCTTGGTCCCTGGGACATTTTGTAAGAAATCTCCCAATAATGAAGTTTGGGGCAGTGCAGGACAATGGACTGTGTGGGGTAGGGATAGGAAGTCACTGAAATTAAAAGACAGTGAACTTGTGTCTTTGGGTCAAGGGCATGCATGTATTAATATATTTGGGGTAAAGCTAAATCATTCGGTATACCAGATAGGCTCGTTAATGCAGAGAATAAAGGGGTGAGAATGAGCAGTTTTTAGACTGCTCTGTGCATGTTCCTTTTCTCGTTGGACTTATAACTCTTCCCCTTTCCTCTCTGCTGCATCCTTCCTACAGCCCTGATTCTCACTGGCTTTTCTAGGCCTTTCAAAATGTTTTGTTTTGTTTCTCCCTTTTAATTTTTGCTACCAGATTTCTATTTGAAAACATCCAGAAGTTACATTTCTGATTGTTCTAAGTTTTCCCTTCATTTATGGAGATAGTACGGGGAGTCTGACTCTGTCATATCAGTTTCCCCTTGGCTAGTATTTTTTTAGATAACATTTCAGAGAATTATGGCATTTTCCCACTGAGTTAGATTCCATATTTAGTCATGAGAATTGCTCTGGGGGTGATGTTGGAGCTTTTCTGTTAACCTTTTCGTTACTCTTGTATGACTTCCTCAATATGATAAATGGATCCTTTCTCTTCCAAAGACGCTGCTGCTGATGGTGCCACCATTTCTTGGAAGGAAAATTTTGATTCAGCTTATACTGAGCTGAATGAAATTGGAAGGTAATGACGCAGTTTTCTGTTCCTTCATTTATGAACACTTAACAACATCAACATCATGAACATGACTTTTTCTTGTTTTTTGTTTCTTTTACTAAGTGCATTTTCTCTATACTAAGAAAAAACCAGACTGTTTATGTGTCTTTTCTATGGTTCTTTTTCTAACTTAAGTTGAAGTTCTCAGCCTTTCTGCTTTTCTCCTATAAGAATTTAAGGCTCGGTCTTCTCTTCAGGGTACAGTTTAGCTACCCTGGAGTTCTGATTGTGACATTTTCATTGTTCAGCTCTAAGTACTTAATCCTTCAGCTATGATTCTTCTCTTTGACCCAACTGTAGAAATGTTTTTAAAATGTCCAAATGTATGAGATTTTTTTTATCTTTTTTTCTTTTTTCTTTTTATTGAAGGATAATTGCTTTATAGAATTTTGTTGTTTTCTGTCAAACCTCAATATGAATCAGTCATAGGTCTACATATATCGCCTCCCCTTTGAACCTCCCTCCCATCTCCCTCCCCATCCCACCCCTCTAGGTTGATACAGAGCTCCTGTTTGAGTTTCCTGAGCCATTCGGCAAATTCCCATTGGCTATTTATTTTACAGATGGTAATGTAAGTTTCCATGTTACTCTTCCCATACATCTCACCCTCTCCTCCCCCTCCCCATGTCCATAAGTCTATTCTCTATGTCTGTTTCTCCACTGTTGCCCTGTAAATAAGTTCTTTGGTACCATTCTTCTAGATTCCGTATATATGTGTTAGAATACGATATTTATCTTTCTCTTTCTGACTCACTTCAGTCTGTATAATAGGTTCTAGGTTCATCTGCCTGATGAGAACTGACTCAAATGCATTCCTTTTTATTGCTGAGTAATATTCCACTGTGTATATGTACCACTACTTCTTTATCCATTCATCTGTCGAACATCTAGGTTGCTTCCATGTTCTAGCTATTATAAATAGTGCTGCAGTGAACAATGGGATACATGTGTCTTTTTAGTTTCCTCAGAGTATATGCCTAGGAGTGGGATTTCTGGGTCATATGGTGGTTTTATTCCCAGTTTTTTAAGGAATCTCCATACAGTCTTCCATAGTGGCTGTATCAGTTTACATTCCCACCAACAGTGCAAGAGCGTTCCCTTTTCTCCACACTCTCTCCAGCATTGTTTGTAGATTTTTTGATGAGGGCCATTCTGACTGGTGTGAGGTGATATCTCATTGTAGTTTTGATTTGCATTTCTCTAATAATGAATGATGTTGAGCATCTTTTCATGTGTTTGTTAGCCACCTGTATGTCTTCTTTGGAGAAATGTCTGTTTAGGTCTTTTTCCCACTTTTTGATTGGGTTGTTTGTTTTTCTGGCATTGAGTTGTATGAGCTGCTTGTATATTTTGGAAATTAATCCTTTGTCAGTTGTTTCATTTGCTATTATTTTCTCCCATTCTGAGGGTTGTCTTTTTACCTTGCTTATAGTTTCCTCTGCTGCACAAAAACCTTTAAGTTTAATCCCATCCCACTTGTTTACTTTTGTTTTTATTTCCATTAATCTAGGAGGTGGGTCATAGAGGATCTTGCTTTGATTTATGTCATCGAGTATTCTGCCTATGTTTTCCTCTAAGAGTTTTATAGTTTTTGGTCTTACATTTAGGTCTGTAATCCATTTTGAATTTATCTTTGTGTATGATGTTAGGAAGTGTTCTAATTTCATTCTTTTACATGTAGCTGTCCAGTTTTCCCAGCACCATTTATTGAAGAGGCTGTCTTTGCCCCATTGTATATTCTTGCCTCCTTTGTCAAAAATAAGGTACCCATAGGTGCATGGGTTTATTTCTGGGTTTTCTATCTTGTTCCATTGGTCTGTATTTCTATTATTGTGCTTGTACCATACTATCTTGTTGACTGTAGCTTTGTAGTATAATCTGAAGTCGGGAAGGTTGATTCCTCCAGCTCCATTCTTCTTTCTCAAGACTGTTTTGGCTATTCTGGGTCTTTTGTGTTTCCATATGAATTGTGAAATTTTTTGTTCTAGTTCTGTGAAAAATGCCTTTGGTAATTTGATAGGGATAGCATTGAATCTGTAGATTGCGTTTGGTAGTATAGTCATTTTCACAATATTGATTCTTCATACCCAGGAACATGGAATATCTCTCCATTTATGTCTTTCTTTCATTAGTGTCTTATAATTTTCTCTGTACAGTTCTTTTGTCTCCTTAGGTAAGTTTATTCATAGATATTTAATTCTTTTTGTTGCAATGGTGAATGGGATTGATTCCTTAATCTCTCTTTCTGAATTTTCATTGTTAATGCATAGAAATGCAAGTGATTTCTGTGTATTGATTTTGTATCCTACAACTTTGATAAATTCACTGATTAGCTCTAGTAATTTTCTGATACTATCTTTAGGGTTTTCTATATACAGTATCATGTCATCTGCAAACAGTGAGAGCTTTACTTCTTTTCCGATCTGGATTCCTTTTATTTCTTTTTATTCTCTGATTGCTGTAGCTAGGACTTCCACAACTATGTTGAATAATAGTGGTGAAAGTGGACACCCACGTCTTGTTCCTGATCTTAGGGGGAATGCTTTCAGTTTTTCACCATTGAGAATAATGTTTGCTGTAGGCTTATCATATATGGCCTTTCCTATGTTGAGATAGGTTCCTTCTATGCCCATTTTTTGAAGAGTTTTAATCATAAATGGGTGCTGAATTTTGTCAAAGGCTTTTTCTGCATCTATTGAGATTATCATATGATTTTTATCTTTCAGTTTGTTAATATTGTGTATCACATTGATTGATTTGCATATATTGAAAAATCCTTGCATTCCTGGAATAAACCCAACTTGATCACGGTGTATGAGCTTTTTGATGTGTTGCTGAATTCTGTTTGCTACAATTCTGTTGAAGATTTTTGCATCTATGTTCATCAGTGATATTGGCCTGTAGTTTTCTTTTTGTGTGCTGTTTTTGTTTGGTTTGGTATCAGGGTGATGGCCTCATCAAATGAGTTTGGAAGTGTTCCTTCCTCTGCAATTGTTTGAAAGAGTTTTCAAAGGATAGGCATTAGCTGTTCTCTAAATGTTTGATGGAATTCTTCTGTGAAGCCATCTGGTCCTGGGCTTTTGTTTTTTGGGAAATTTTTAATCACAGCTTCAATTTCAGTGCTTGTAATTGGGTTGTTCATAATTTCTATATCTTCCTGGTTCAGTCTTGAAAGATTGAACTTTTCTAAGAATCTGTCCATTTAAAAAATTATCTTCTTACTACCGATTTCTAATTTAATTACCATGTGGTTAGAGAATTTGGTCTGTGTGATACTGATTCCCTGATTTTTGTTGGGACTTGCTTTATGAGTAGTATATGGTCAATTTTCATAAGAAGTTCCATGTCTTCCTTAGAAGAATGTATAATCACTAATTGTTGGGTTCAAGTGTCTCTTTTTCTTTCTCCCCTTCAGTTAGAAAAATGTGTTCTCAAAAATGAAAAGGATAAAAATATGACTTTTAACAGAATAGTGAAAAATAATGTATCACATGTCTCACGAAATAGTTGATGATAAGAAAAAAAAGGGGTTCATGCTTGTGATATATTGGTCTCCAAGTGGTCTAAGTGAGAGAATGTGAGTAAGTCTTGCAAGTCACCCACCCTCCTGTGATGTGTAAATAACAGAGCACCCACTAGAATAGGGCCATTTGTATCATCTCCATCTCTGATTGACATTTCTCAGTGAAGCATAAAATTTCCTAAGTGGTTGTGACAGAGGTTGTGGAGAGAGCAAAAATGTTCATTATTCTCATTTTCCTAGGCAGGAGTCACAATGTAATTCACTGCCTTTTGTTACAGCTCCTTTCATAAAAACCCAGCTTTGGCTCTACTTCCTGATCTTCTTCGTGTAGGTAGCCAAACAGAAAAACAGAGGGGGAAGAGCCAGTGGAAATCTACATGGTAATGATGATGATGCTTATTGAGTAATATAGCCCTCTGGATACTATGCAGATATTATACAAAAGTTATTTAATCTAATCCTTACAACACCATGAGGTAGTGTTTGAGTAGATTTCCAATAAAGGAAACTCAGGCTCAGAGGTTAAGTAACTTTCTCAAGATCCCACAACTAGTAAGTATAGAGCCAGGATTCAAACTCTGGGTACCTGACTTTAAGCCTGTGTTTGTTTTACTAATATATGTTGTTTCTCATCACAGCAATTTTTGTCAAAAATAAATTTTGGTAATTGAAATCTAGTTTGCTCCATGATACTGAAGTTTGTGAAGCTATATATGACCCCCAGGGCTTCATGGTGGATCAGCACTAAAGAATCTGCCTGCAATGCAGGAGACGTGGGTTCTATCCCTGGGTTGGGAAGATCCCCTGGAGAAGGAAATGGCAACCCACTCCAGTATTCTTGCCTGGGAAATCCCAAGGACAGAGGAGCCAGTGGGCTACAGTCCACGGGGTCGTAAGAGTCAGACACGACTTAGTGACTAAACCACTATCACACTATGAGCCCCAATAATAAGCAGATCAAATCCCCATCTGGTTATAAACGAAACTGGCTCAGTCCCCTGAATGTACCAGTTAAGTCCTCCCCAAAGCCTGTATTTGCTGTTGATAGTCATAGGCTATCATAGGCACGTTTTTCTCTTGAAAGATGGATGTTTTGTTATTTCTTAAGGAGAGATCAATTTTCTGATCTGTTCAAAGCAATCAATTTTTTTAAAAGTTCATCTCCAATAACCTGAAGATTTTCCTCTCTCCCAAGTATAGTCTTCATATTTTTAGAAGATCCTTTAAAATGCTGTTATGTTAACAGAATGGAAATAAGACATGTAGATACTTACATGAGACACAAAATATATCTGTGCCACTGTGCCAGGGTCGTATAAGTGAGTCAGCTTTCTCCATCACACATAAACCTAGAATTCTAGGTCTATATGGCTATCTTGTTAGAAATGGCTCTTCAGTAATTATTACAAAAAAGAAATATCTTCACTCCTATAGTTCATTCAAAGAAGCAAAGAGCACTTGAGCATAGCATACTTAACCAGAAATAAACTATACAGGCACTATTGCAGCTTAAAGAAGCCAAAGAGTTATCCCCTGGGAATGCTACCTGGTTACAGGATCCAAAAAGGCAGCAGTATAGCCTATAGAGTTGGACGATAAGGAAAGCTGAGCACCAAAGAACTGATGTTTTTGAACTGTGCTTTTGGAAAGGACTCTTGAGAGTCCCTTGGACTGCAAGGAGATCAAACCAGTCCATCCATAAAAGAAATCAGCCCTGAATATTCATTGGAAGGACTGATGCTGAAGCTGAAATTCCAATACTTTGGCCACCTGATGCAAAGAACTGATTCATTTGAAAAGACCCTGATGCTGGGAAAGATTGAAGGTGGGAGGAGAAGGGGACAACAGAGGATGAAGTGGTTGGATGGCATCACTGACACAGGACCCTTATGAGAATATATAAATGCTAGATACTGAGGACCCCTGTTCTCTTATCAAACAGGCTTCCAGAGGTGGAAAACCAAGGCTTCACGTTCTTGCCAGAAAGTCAGAGGGTCTTTCTCTGCAAAATTTGACCAACTCAAGAGGAAAAATTTAAAGATACTGACTTTGAAGTTTTCCCCAACTAAACAGTCCGTGCAGTTCACCGTACAGTGAGAGTCAAGTTGACAGAATCCATCCACAAACTCAGAGCTTCCAAGCAACTTCTAGTCCCCAGTTGTTAAAATGAACCGATTTATGATGCTGGCCAAAATGGAGTAAGCACATTGTGGCCTTTCTCTCTCACTGACTACACTAGCATCTCTGGATGAAATACAAACAGCAACTATCTGAGCTTCCTGAAAAGTAAATAACAGGGAGCCTAGGGAGAGAGGGTAACACCTGAAACAGACATGGACAGTGGCAGTGAATTTTCTGGGCTTTGAGGTTTTTTATCCTCTCTTTGATCTCCTAGCTTTGACCCAAGGGTGGGCCAAATCAGGGAACTGTCCTGCATGCCCAGAGAGCAAAATCTCTGAGAGAAACCCATCTTTCTGGCCAAAAAACAGGAAGAAAGCTATGAGATCCCTATTTTCACCTTTTTCTTCTTTCTTTTACTCCTTTACCCCCAAGGGTATTGATATAGAAGTATATGATGATGCAGAGGCTAAAATTCTGATGGAATCCAATATTTCTGGCCAGCAGAACTATAGAAAGGGTCTTTGAGCTAAAGAATGTAAGAGAACTCTCAGTGAAAAGAGAACTAAATATTTTTATAAGAATCATATGCAAAGGGTTAGGAATAATAATACTTTGGGCATTAACAGTTAACATCATCATTCACACTAGAAGTTAGAAGGCAACAGAATAATTCCTTCAAATTTTTTTCAACCTAGAATTATACCCAACTAACATCACTTCATGGGAAATAGATGGGGAAACAGTGGAAGCAGTGTCAGACTTTATTTTTGGGGGCTCCAAAATCACTGCAGATGGTGCTTGCAGCTATGAAATTAAAAGATGCTTACTCCTTGGAATGAAGGTTATGACCAACCTAGCTAGCATATTAAAAAGCAGAGACATTACTTTGCCAACAGAGGTCCATCTGGTCAAGGCTATGGTTTTTCCAGTGGTCACATACGGCTGTGAGAGTTGGACTGTGAAGAAAGCTGAGTGCCAAAAAATTGATGCTTTTGAACTGTAGTGTTGGAGAAGTCTTGAGAGTCCCTTGGACTGCAAGGAGATCCAACCAGTCCATCCTAAAGGAGATCAGTCCCGAGTGTTCATTGGAAGGACTGATGCTGAAACTCCAATACTTTGGCCACCTCATGTGAAGAGTTGACTCGTTGGAAAAGACCCTGATGCTGGGAGGGATTGGGAGGAGAAGGGGATGACACAGGATGAGATGGCTGGATGACATCACCGACTCCATGGACATGAGTTTGAGTAAACTCCGGGAGTTTGTGATGGACAGGGAGGCCTGGTGTGCTGCAATTCATGGGGTTGCAAAGAAGCGGACACCACTGAGCGACTAAACTGAACTGAACCTAACAATCAATTATAAATGTAGAATAAGCATATTTTAGATATGTAAATCTCCACAACTTATTTCAAATGCACTCTTTGTCAGAAATGATTAAAGAATGTATTTTACTACAAACATGAAAAATTATCTTACTTTACTAGAGGTTCAACTGTGACCAGCACTTCACATAGTTGCAATAATGGAAAAACTGAATATTGATTACAGTGTAATTCTCTTGGAAGGACAGGGAATGGAGAAAGTGGTTATGCAGTAGAGACAAAGGAAGGAAAGAGGCTAAAATCTCATCTTCTATAGTGGGATGTCAACAGATAATAACTAAAATTGAAAAATCAAGAAGTAGTCATACGAAACATACTATACTTAGTGCCATAGAAGAAAATATCTGAAAAATCAGCAAAATATATTAAACTGCCTCTATGGGAAGAAAAATGGTGATGAATGGAGAATGAGACACTACTGCATTTGATGACAAACTTTGCTAAAGCTAATGACTTTTTAAACCATAGGGATACATAACACTGATAAACACAATATATATTTTAAAAATTAAGGTAGCAATACTGTGACATAACCGCCAATTCAGATCTCTCTTCAGCAATCAGTTGTTTTCATGCATTTAAAGTCCCCTGGAAGGAGTGACCCATAGGAAACAAACAAGACAGAGTGTTGTTAAAACCCAGGATGGCAAATTATTACTTGATAATGTAAAATAGAACTGTGAATTTGGCCAAGTACTTGTTCACTATGCCAAGATTGATGTCTGGTGTGTAATAGGCATTTGTCTAGTACTTGCTTTGTTAATTAGGGCCTTCTCTTCTTTGGGGAAAATTTACAGTTACTATCAGGAAGTTGCTTGGTGAACACAGAGCCAGGTCAAGGAGTCAACTGGACAGTCTTAGTGGTGGCCGTGATATCTGATGGCTTCATTTCTGCTAGATGAGTGGACTGCCCTAGGACTTCTCACTCCCCTACTCTTGGGTTAGGGCACCTCATGGACAGATTCTGAATGTTGCTGCCTTGTCACCTCTTCAACCTTCCCTCTCTCTTCTTCCATTGCCAACCAGTTTCTCCTTCTGTGTTACTTTCTTACTAGCTTCCACAGGCCTATAGGTGAGTCTGGGAATCAGTCTAACTTAGGTGTAGTTATTTTTGTTAGATGTGAAAATGGGGTGATATATTTTTAAATGTCCTTGTCAAACTAGAGATGAAAACTTAGTATTTATGTGAGAAATAACATGCATTTAAAACACTCCAGAAAAAAACACAACAAAAAAACGGGCAGGAGATAGGTAAAGAATAGATGAAAGGTTGGCAAAATGTTGATAATTGTTGATACTGGCTGCTGGGTACATAGAAGATCTGTTATACGCTTCTCTCTATTTTTGTGTATATAGGAAATTTTCTGTAACAAAAGGATAAGAAATATAAAATAAGATGAAAAAAATTGCCTCTTTGGAAAATGTTTTGAATTATCATAGAGCAGAATTTCTCCTTCTTTGATATTCTTACTGTTATATTTTGTAGAAATATACTCTGTTCAGAAAACTGAACTTGTAGTTGATGTTTATTGACTAAAAATGTTATTTAGTTTTTTGCATCTTGGAGAACCCTAAAATGCTAAGGAAGGAAAGATAATATTATAGTTAACAATTCTGAATGATAATGTTACAGTTAAAAATGCAAAAAAGTAGATTTCTATAATAATAAAATGTTACTGTCTAACCACTTTGGATAAAACTTCTCGAATCCTTGAATAAAATGATACCTAGTTGATTGAGGAATCTTGGCAAAACACTTTCTCCCTTTTGTTTTCCAGAGGCCGGTTCTCCATAGTAAAGAAGTGCATTCACAAAGCTACTCGCAAAGATGTTGCAGTGAAATTTGTTAGCAAAAAAATGAAGAAAAAAGAGCAGGCTGCCCACGAGGCTGCCCTGCTTCAGCACCTGCAGCACCCCCAATACATCACTCTCCATGACACCTATGAGTCCCCCACTTCCTACATCCTCATTTTGGAACTGTAAGTACCAGTATCATCTCTTGAACACGGTCCCCAGCTGTTTGGCTTATTTCTTGCTTACAATGAATGGAAATGGCAGTTACATTTCATATAATGCCTCTAGCTTACAAAGTGTTGTATGTAACATGCACTTTCCCCTCCATTGTATAAAAATGTGATTCCCATTTTATAGATCAGAAAATCAGAGATAAGGAAGTTCATAAAAGTAGCTCCTTAAAACTAGGAAATGGAGAAGCTGGGACTTGAACCCACATCTGTCTCACTCCAGTTTTCATCTTCTTTCTCTTATGGGCTCTTGGGCTGGGCAGGAGTTTAGGAAAAGCTTATTGGCAAAGGGCTCATTGACAGGGGTGAAATTGAAATGAAAGAGAGGAGTTTGTGCATCTATCTACTGCTATAGCATCCCTAATCTACCCCCAAGAAAGTCCTTTAAGGGTAGAATCTTACTTTCAAAACCTTCCACTCATTCCAGACTTCCTGTCATTCCAGACCTTCAAAAACTTCCACTCATTCCAATGTATCCCCTTATACTTGGGGCTACATACTGGGTCCCAGAAGATAGCAATAAGGTCACATCCTTAACACTCCTTCCCCAAGCTAGGAATAGAGATCATGCCCTGTAGTTTAGAGAAATCTTACAGAGGCCCAAGAGGACAGTCTTTTCAGAAGTATGGATCCCTCATAGAAATGTTGTCTCATTGGTGTGACGAGGCCCTGGGCCTGGAGAGAAGACAGACATTTATCCTGGAGACCAATACTGTGTGTGGCTCCACATGTACCTGTGTACAGTAGAGAGGCACCTCCATATACAGCTTTCAACTGTGATTTAGGCCTTTGATCCTGTCAAGGAAAGCAGGAGAAGAAAACAAGCTGGTGGGAAGAAACAAGCTAGAGAAGAGAATGGGAACTTGGCGGGAGGATGTCAGCTGTGCTCAAAAGTAGCTTCTGATTCTGGCTCAGGCTCCTCTGCCTGGGCCTTTCACGGGGATGTTCCTCAATGGCCCAGTGCATGTTAGAGAACAGCTATTTGACATCTGGTCACTCCCTGCTAAAGAGGGCACTGCTGCTGCTGCTGCTAAGTCGCTTCAGTCGTGTCCGACTCTGTGCGACCCCATAGATGGCCGCCCACCAGGCTCCGCCGCCCCTGGGATTCTCCAGGCAAGAACACTGGAGTGGGCTGCCATTTCCTTCTCCAATGCATGCAAGTGAAAAGTGAAAGTGAAGTCGCTCAGTCGTGTCTTCACGACCCCATGGACTGCAACCTACCAGGCTCCTCCATCCATGGGATTTTCCAGGCAAGAATTCTGGAGTGGGTTGCCATTGCCTTCTCCGAGAAATGGGCACAGGGTACCTGAAAATAGTTGCCATTTATTGCACACTTACTATTGCTACCAGTTATGCTTTAATGCCTCACTCATTGTCTCACTTGATCCATCAACAGTCCTCATAGATGAAATAGAGATTGTTATTGTTGTTGTTGTTACTCTCACTTTAAAGATAAAGAAAGCAAAACACAGAGAGTTTAAATGACTTGTTCCAAGCCCCCAGCCTGTGTGTGGCAGAACCAGGATTCAAGTCTAGGTTTGGCTGGTTCCTCCTAGCAGGCTCTCAGGCATAGTTTTTAAAGTTGGATAGTTGCCCAGGAGGAGTAGGATTCAAGAATGGGTCGTGAATGTCAAGGTCAAATTTTGCCTACTTGCTACTTTTCCCCAACTAAAAGCTGGCGAAGGAAAAGCAATTTGCAAAACACATGTGAGGCTCCTTGAAGCCACCGGATTCCAGTTATTCAGACAGTTGCAAGACCTCTCTGTCTCCTTCCTTTCTCTGTTTTGCAATCTAACCTCTCTTAAAGGGATGTCAGACTTTCCTTGTGAGCAATTTCAATGGACAGAGTCTGCCAGGCTACAGTCCATAGCGTTGCAGAGTTGGACACAACTGAAGCGACAGAGCAGGCATTCACAGCGTGTCTTAAGATTATACAGATTTCTTCCCTGAAGCATGGATCTCTCTCTTATCTATCCATCTATTTCTTCTATCTCTTTCTATCTCCTCCATATCTATTATCTATCTATCTTTTTAATATAAGTTCTGAATATTGTACTAACTTTGGACTCTAACTAGAATGCACATGTCTTGCAACACTGATCTTCATTTATAATAGGGAATAGGAGAAATATTAGCAATCTTACAGATTCATGTGTGTGCTATTTTTTTGTTTTCTTTGCAAACATATTTCCTTTGCCTTTTCCTCCCTTTTTTCAGGATGGATGATGGCCGACTCTTAGACTACCTTATGAATCATGATGAGCTGATGGAAGAAAAAGTAGCTTTCTACATTCGAGACATCATGGAAGCCCTGCAGTACCTTCACAACTGCAGAGTTGCACATTTGGACATAAAGGTAATAAGAAATAGCAACCCTAGAAGAGAAATGGTTAAGTTCAACCTGCCAGTCATTGCCCTTGAGGGATATAAATTCTCATTTTATTTTCTTGCATTAGAATCCCTATGAATATTAAACACAAAATGGGTTGTCACACAATTTGTGTGTTATTATTGAATTAATGAGAACACATCAGAGTCACATAATATCTCGGGTAAGAGAAGGTAGGTAGGCTTTAACCACTTTGTCTAACTTTATAGAAGGAATCACTAAATGTTGCTATATTTTTCTAAAAGAAGCCCCTGTTCCCCCCAAATAAATAATTTACTTTTTCAGTGCAGAAGGGTAGTTAAGAAGACAGGATTTTCAGTGTCAACCAACTTCTCTGAAGTACCATCCAGCCTCAGGGTTTAGTTCAGTTTGAAGCATAGGGAACATCCCACACACTACAGGCTTTATCAAAGAATAGCAGAACCGTGTTGGAGTGGCTGGAATCCTACAGGTAGTCAAAACAGAGCTGAACTTGCCTTCTTTCTTCCCCACCTCTTTGGATCTCTGCAGCCTGAAAACCTGCTCATTGACCTACGGATTCCAGTGCCTCGCGTGAAGCTCATTGACTTGGAGGATGCTGTCCAGATCTCAGGTCACTTCCATATCCACCACCTGCTGGGGAACCCCGAGTTTGCTGCCCCAGAAGTGATCCAGGGCATCCCTGTATCCCTGGGCACCGACATCTGGAGCATCGGGGTTTTGACATACGTCATGCTGAGTGGGGTCTCCCCCTTCTTGGATGAGAGCAAGGAGGAGACGTGTATCAATGTGTGCAGGGTGGACTTCAGCTTCCCCCATGAGTACTTCTGCGGTGTGAGCAATGCTGCCAGAGATTTCATCAATGTGATCCTACAGGAAGACTTTCGGAGGCGGCCCACGGCAGCCACCTGCCTGCAGCATCCGTGGCTGCAGCCCCACAATGGCAGCTACTCCAAGATCCCCCTGGACACCTCCCGCTTGGCGTGCTTCATTGAGCGTCGCAAGCATCAGAATGATGTGCGCCCCATTCCCAACGTCAAGAGCTACATTGTCAATCGGCTAAACCAAGGCACGTAGCCATCCCCCAGCCCTCGTGGTTTCACATGGAAGTGCAGTGTGAACCAAAGTTAGACTGAACGTGTCTGTAAATAATTCTGTCCATCATTCACTCCATGTGGTTCTCTGGATTGAGAGATGTACCTCTTAAACTTCCTCAGTGGTTTTTCAAAGTCTGAGCAGCAGTGAAATCACTCTAAATCCAGGGACTTTCCAGAAGGTCGTTCAGAAGAGATACAGATGTACAGAGTCATGGAAAGTATTCAGAAGAGAGGCAGAGATAACAAGAATAGCAGCTGTTATGAAATTTTAATTGTGCTCCAAAATGAGTGGTTAACTTGGCAAAACATAAGATCACTGAAGAAAGTATAAAGGTTCCTGCCTTTGCTGAAATTTTAAACAAGAAGTTCTGTTTAACAGAGATGTCATGTATGTCAACTATACTGGTTTAGATTACTTACATATAGTTTCTTAATAGGATACATGTACACATACAGTAAAAATATATCACATTCAACTTTCAGNTGAAATTTTAAACAAGAAGTTCTGTTTAACAGAGATGTCATGTATGTCAACTATACTGGTTTAGATTACTTACATATAGTTTCTTAATAGGATACATGTACACATACAGTAAAAATATATCACATTCAACTTTCAGAGTTTTATAATATAGAGATATATATGAAATCAATCTTAAGTAACTTTGAGTGCTCCAGTTAAGACAGTAACTTATGTACCGAAGCATTACATTGTTTTGACTAAGCACAAATTAGATGACAGGTGTTTTTTTTTTAGAGCATTTTATAAATCTTGTATAGAACTCTTTTACCAGAACCTGTGCATTAAGAGAAAGCAATGTTACCCTTTTGCAATCTGTGAGTGAGAAGATTTTTCTCTCGGTCACAGGTATTTGACTAACCTAGGTTCTGTTTATGAAATGCTATCCCCAGATTCACTGGCAGCTCAGAGTTCATCTGGCAGGAAAGCCTGCCAGGGAATAAGTCCAAATACAGAATGAGTTGTGGGGCTATTTTTTATGTCTACACTTGGTTTGAAATAGGTAACGAATAAAACAGGTTCATACAAAAGTGCAAATAGAAACCTTTCCTGCAGTTCCTGTGAACACGTAACAACACTTTCTGATGTCTTCTGCAGCTGTAGATTGCAGTCCTCAGAAAGTTAGCCTGCTTTATTTCTAACCCCTTATAGAAATGAAGGGGTGCTTACCAAAAGGAAGCAGCCATATAGACCTTTCAAAGGCCTGGTCCCAAGTCCTTTTTGAAGCCATGGTATTTATCTGATACGTCATCCTAGCAGAGCATTGAGTTTTAACTGCGATTGCAATATCTATCACTGCTCAGTCACCAATATTTCCCTGGACTAAAAGGACTAGTTGCATTTTGAGGCCGACGCTGCTTTCTGGTATATATTCTCCATACAAGATGGTTATGAACTGCCTTTTTTTCCACTGGTGGAAAAAAAATTAAACCTGGGCATTTCATGGTCTCTTTCTTTCTCCCTTTTTTTTTTTTTGTTTTTTGGGAGATTTTGTTTTTGTGTTTTTGTACATGATCTATCCTTTGTTTCCTAGAATGTGTTTTTAAAATTACTCTTATGCAAATGCTATTTTAAAAAATATAACTTAAGCGTCTGTTCAAATCAGGTTTAATGGCATTGCTTCTCCCATAAAAAGGTGAGAAAATTAAAATCATGCAGCACAGAAGTGCAAGCAGAGAGTTTATGAAGGATAAATAGAACTACAAACCTATCTTAATGAAGAAGAATGATGGAAACTAAGTCTGAACTTTAATATATAAAAATACTTATTCCCTCAGTGGAAATGTAAAATTAAAAATGCTCATCATTCTTTTCCATTGACTTCAAAGTCAACTTCTTCATCCATGCTCCACCTCATCCCATCTAAGATTATAGACTAATAAATTAGTAGAAAGTACAAGCAATAAGACTATATAGCACTTATGTATTTTCAGGATTAACCAAATAAGTGGCAACTGATTCTGACTGTATTTGTTTCCTAGTTTTCGAATGGCCCTGGGCCACCAAGGCTACTTTCTCAGAGCTCTCTCTTGACTAACACTTCGTATTCTTCATTTAAACCTATAGTTCTATACCAATACTATATGATAAAATATTTTGAAATTTTAAACAAGTTTACTAAAAACTCTTTTAGTAAGCATGTCTTTGTTATAAGATGCAACATAAAAAAAGAAAGCCTGGTCCCTCGGGCTCATCATGGGATAGATACAGGCACTGAGGATTCCGAATATCTGTATGGTATGGCTTGGCAAGTTATGTTTCATCCACTGTGGACGATGACTAAAAAGCCCCCTGCTGAATCTTTATGAGTTTTTATGACCATGTAGGAGACAAGCTGAGTTTTTGCTTGAGAAGGACAATGGTGTCCAGACTGCAAGGAGAGCATTAATGAAATCATGCTGTTGGGAGGACAAGAATGTTAGAGCCAAAGCATTTATAACAGCTTTCACATCAGAGTTGGAGTGGTACAGATGGAAGGCTAGTATGATTTTGTTAACTGGAGCCAAAGTACAATCATTAGAATAGAATGAATTTAATAGGGGCCCCAAGAGAAAGGGTATATATTTTATATGGTTTGATAACTAAAGAAAGCTAACAGGGAGACATCTATCTGCAAAGCTCCTGGTCCTTCCCAATGAGGATAAGGTGATTGCATTCCTGATTCAGGAATTCTCTTTGGCAAGTTGGAAATAACAAGGAATCCCAGAAGATGGGGCTGGGAAATATACTCTAGTTGCTCTGTGGGCAACTGTGGTGAGGGATGAAGGATTAGGAACCACTTTCTTGTACCTATTTTGGCAGAGATATTTATTACTTTGTGGTAGAGAAGAGGGGAGAGATGGGAAAATAGTCCCCTTCTTATAATGGTAATTTTTGCAATTAAAACTTAACTAGGAATCAGTAAGAATGAACTTCCAGCTGAAATGGGAAAAATAATATTGGTGAAAGTCACAAGTTTCTTGCTTGGCTTATATCCATTGTATAGGGTTTTGGGTTTTTTTGTTTTATAAGAGTGGGGTGCAGAAAGAAGGAAAAGATCAGGGACAACCCACAATAATTTTTTAAAGGTATATATAGTCATTTACTACATCTTTTACATCAGTTTCAAATTAAACAGATTTATATCCACTTACAGCTGAATGTGAGAAATTTTTTAAGAAAAAAAGTTGTAACGTTGGAGGTGTCCTTCAGGCCTCTCACAGCCATAAACACTCTTGGGGGAACAGAGGAAGCAGAGGAAAAGCTGGCTGCAGCGCTTTGTGGCTCACAAGTCTTTATAAATAGTAGTGCCTTTCAGAGGGGAGGATGGGAGATAAAGAAGTTCATTGTATTTAGATTGACTGATATTGCAGCATTTTTTCTTTAAAATATCTTTTAAATGAAACCATCTGAACATAGGGTGAGCTCAGGAATTCTTGAGTTTCAACCTCAACTGTTCCTGATTCGTCCTTTCTTACAGAAAGTCTTTGGTTTTTTTCTGCCCCAAATATCCCCATTGTGAAAATGGGAGTTGGGGGGAAGGAGGGAGGAATTAATCTCATAGGAATGTGGGGAAAATACCTTAGTTGGGATGTCTAGAAAATACTTGGATTTTTTAAAAAGTGCTACACACTGCCAGTGCTAAGAATTTTTTTGATGGTAACTTTGAACATTCCAAGATTTCAATATTCATGTCTTTAGATACCATTTACAAACTCATGAGATTAAATTATGTAAATTGATTTTAATTGGAAGTACTAGGTGCTCTTTGTCTGAATGTTTTTTTTATCTTAGCCTGTAATTTCAATAATTTAAAAGCTTATTTACAGAAAAAAGTTAGGAGAACTGATGAAGTGTTTGTCAATAAACTGTTTTCTCGAGTATGTCTTATGGCAGAAGCACAAAGTAAGATGCCCTCGAAAGTAACCACGATTCTCTTCTCAAGCTTTATACAGAGAAAAGCCCAAACAGCCACTTTCCTCACTGGGAGGGCAGAGAGGAGAATAAAATATTTTCTGATATCAAAACTCATTTCTTTAGAATCTCACAGGTTTCTATAATAAGAGGCAAATTAAATGCACAGGTGTAGAAATGAACTGTTAGTTTTTGGAGGGAAAACTTTGGATCTTTTTCTTTTTTTTAGGTAATTAGATGTTCTGGAAGTAGCACATTTGTTTTTCCATAGTCTCCATGATTTAGTGCTGGTGAGTCAGTTGTTACTTTTTTCTTGCCTTGTGGAAGAGCATGGACATTTAGATTTGTGAGACTACAAAGGGGCAAATATATTATAAACTAGATGCTGGTTATTTCTGTATATTAAGTAAAACTTTGTCCCATAAATTTGATAGAGGAGGAAATATTTCAAACATAAGGGTCTTCATAGTAGGGAAAAAGTGCAAACTCACCACATCCTTGTTCAGTTTTGAGAAATGTGGGGCTTATTTATTTCCCTCCTGTGTAGCATCTCTGTGGAGTCTGGGTTAGGCAACCACAGCATGTGAACTTTCAGTGGGTTTATTTGCATTACAGTTTTCTTAACTATTTAAAATCTAGGGATCATTAGGAAATGAATAACTAAGGTTAGAAAAGATAAGATTTACCCATTCTCTACTAAGACAAGGGGAACTACTATGTTAATATACATTTTCTAAAAACTAAAAGGTTCTGTTTCATTAATTCTAGAGGGTTAAAAACAGCTGAAATTTGTCCGTAGCATTAGATGTCTTTAATAGAGAATATTATTCATGTGAGAAATATATACAAAAATAGTAGAACACAGGCCATATTTTCTATGAAAGAAAATATTTCTCCCTCATTTTCCATACATGTAGAAGTTAGAGGAGAGGAAAAAGCAATTACTCTAAGACAAATTTTCATCTTTAAGGGACATTTATGAAAAGATTGAAATTAATACTCATGGGCTATTGTGTTTCCTGTTAGCCTATTTGCTAGGAGATTCTAAATTGTGGTCAGATTTTGTTTTTATTCAGATGAACAAGATTAACTGCTTATTCAGATAACTGTTATTTTGGATAGTGAGGATGGCTGAAGAAATGGAAAAGAGTGCAAATGAATTTACTAGCTGAGGAATAGCTAGTGTAAGAGTTACATCAATGCCTGACTTCCGTCAAGAAATGAAGCCACATCTTGGAGTATTATGGGGACTGTTACTATGATCTCAAAGGCTGTGGTTATGAATTTGAAGGTTACAAAACATACATCTTCTCTTACTAACTTAAGCCATATATGTCATCTCTATGATTGATTTTTTTTGACCCTGGTGCTTTTACTTCTGTTTCTGCCAAACTTTGGCCTACTCTATGGGGAAGGTGACTAAGTAAAACTAGTAGTTAGGACAAATGTGAAGACTGTGAAAAAACTAAACATGTTCTTCAGAACGAGATCCTAGTCAGAGAACAGTAGTGATCAAAGTGCAAACTGTTGGAAAATATGGATATATGTACATCTGTACATGTATATAGTGTATAATATGTATGTATATGTTGTTGCTCATATGCAGAAATCTATCCATTTGAAGACAGCCCAGGTGGATCAGTTTTCTGGTAGAAAACCATTTAGGGCCATTCAAAACCATTAGGGCTGATGGGTAGAGTTAGAGTCTACTCATTGGGGATTTATTTGCTGTCTTTTGAAGCTACAAAGCCAAACGAACAAAGCTTGAAACATAATGGGACCATCATTTAAGTTATTGTTTGCCTAGAGTCAGAAGAATATATTTGAATATTTAACAGTTGGTTTGCAAATTTATTGGCACCTCTTGGTTTTGAGTGATTCCTCCCCACCAAGTCTTTTGAGAGTTTGGGGGTGGGCTTCTCTGGCCATTCAGATAAAGGGCCTTATCCATAAGTGGACAGGTTTCCCCATAGGGACCATTACACATATACATATAAGTACATACTTCCATCAGGCTTGTAACAATTGATTTAAAATCACTCCACAGTATTGATAAATAGCTCTATATTTTCAAGGTGCAGAAGAATTCCACAGCCTTAATTATTTCAGTGTCTTGCTGGTCTGCCTTAAGTGTATCTTCTGGGTTTTTGGTTGTCTCATTATTTTTAAATTTTTCTGCAGTTGTTCATTTTGTATGCACACAATGTCGTTTTGTAAAGGTAGGTTGTAAATATTTTATTTGTAAGTCAAAATCACTCATGTGTAATGTTGTAAAGTGATGACTTGCTGTCTTGTTATTATCATTACAGTAAATGTTCTAAGTTATGGATGAAGCTTCAAAATGTACATCTCAAGTTATGCATTCCTATAAATATACTATATTAAAGATTACTTCTGGTGGTCTTTTGTTTTCTTTCGAATTAAAATGTCTGGTAAAAGAAAAGAGTAATTTTTTTGTTCTTCCTTCAAATATACGAAAGCCTTTGACAAGATGAAAATATTGCAGTTTTATTAAAACACATTTTGCCCAGCATTTTGGAAAGAAAAGAACAATTTTGTAGTCTGAAGAAATACTCTAAGGCATTTCTCTATCTAAAAATGCCAAATAAGCCTCAATGTGTGTTGTTAATGTCATTCTGGTGTTTCATTTGGCAGCTTTGTTAGAAAATTGTTAGGCTTTATGGGATGGATCTCACAAGTTTACACAATATATTGTGAACTCCAGTAGTCTGGAGTAGACTATGCAGACATAATCAGTCTTTGAAAGAGTCTGTGTGTGCCACCCAAATGCAAATGAAACTAATTCATAGTATATTGTCAATTAACTAGAGTTAAAATTAATACTGTAAAGGGAAAAATCTCATTTAAAGTGGAGGGAGGAAGCCCTGAAGGAGGAGCTCTGTTGCACACACCAGCACATACCACCCTGTGCACCTCATTTTACATCCCTGGGTAGGAAGAGGTTTACTTTACTTCCTTAGCATGAGGATGGAAGATTTTCCTTGGCTACCAACAGTGCAGCCAATGAAAAACAACCAAGAAACTGTCAGCCCATAAGAAACTGTCACCACCCTGAACTCTTGATTTACTCCAAAGAACTTTCCTTCAAAGCAAACCCTCCCAACTTCCCTGGCATCTTCATAAAGTAGCATTCCTCTCCTATGTTATCCAGGATTGCTTATGGTTTGCCAGTTTCCATGCCAATAATGCAATTCCTCTGCCATTCCCAAGTAAAACTCATTTTGCTGGTACAGTAACTAGCCATTTTATTCTTTAGGTTGACAAGTATTAGGGATTGAAGTATTATGATTAGTTTATTTTGCAAACAAGAATAAAAATATCTTAAAGTTTGGTTTCTATTTCATCAAGATTTTACTGCATTTATTTGAAATGAGAACTGTCAAAAGCATGGGCTCCTTCACACTGGCTGGTCATCTTGTCTTCACAGAAAACACAGACATACATAAAGAAAATAAAACAGAAATAACAATCTATTTCAGTTCAGTTCAGTCGCTCAGTCGTGTCCGACTCTTGCGACCCCATGGACTGCAGCACGCCAGGCCTCCCTATCCATCACCAACTCCCAGAGCTTACTCAAACTCATGTCCGTCGAGTCGGTGATGCCACCCAACCATCTCATCCTCTATCATCCCCTTCTCCTCCTGCCTTCAACCTTTCCCAGCATCAGGATCTTTTTCAATAAGTCAGTTCTTCAAATGAGTCAGAATCAATTTGATGAGTGACAACTATAAGCCTTATGGTTTTAACGGTAATTACCTTTAAAGTATTGCCATCTACCCATAATGGGAATTTCCTCTAAGGAACTGATTTGTGAATACAAAATATATTTAGATTTTCAGACTGGCTGGCATGATATTTCTCCTGGATAACCTTGATACCAAAGTATAAGTTCATCTTCCTCGTTATTTAGAACCCGGAGCCGCGCTCAGCGAGCCCGCCCAGCCGCCGGAAAAAGGGCCGGAAGAGGCGGGACTTCTCAGGTTGCGTCATCTGGCGCCGCGGCACGCTGATGTTTGGAGTTAGGAGTGAGCTGGGAGACCCGGACGATGGCGGCGGTTGATGCCCCTTTGGGGTCATTGGTAACGGGTCTGTACGACGTGCAGGCTTTCAAGTTTGGGAACTTCGTGCTGAAGAGTGGGCTCTCTTCCCCCGTGTACATCGATCTGCGGGGCATCGTGTCTCGACCGCGTATTCTGAATCAGGTACCTACGAGGGAAAGGAAAGAACAGGGTTTCGTGGCGTGAATGGGGACCAGGAGGAGTGGGGTGACAGAAACTGGGCTCTGGCTGAGATCAAAAGAGCCAAGCAGGAGGGCCGACCCTGCTTCGGCTTCCGGGAGTCGGTTTGCGGAACCCAGAGACCAGGAACTGTTAGGCTGCTTAAGACCTAGAGGGCAGCCTGCTCGTAGACTGGCTTGGCTTTGACACGTGCTTTGCAGCCGAGTCAGGGAACCCAGTTGGGGGCCTTGGCTCGCACAGAAGTAGTTGAAGAAGTTCCACGTATTCAACTTCGTGAAAATGGGACGGGGAGGAAAAGGTGGGTGAGGGAAGAATTTAGTAGCTGCTTAAATACTTGGAAAACTCTTGCTAGGAAAAGGGGATTCGATTTTGGAATTTGTGGCCAGGAGCAAGAATTAAGGTCAGAGGGTGGACATTTCATGGAGGCAGTTCTTTGGTGAATAAAAGGGAAAAACTGTGTAGAAGTTAGAGGTTTCTAGCACAATGCTTCTCAAACTATGAGTATTTATGAATCACCTGGAATTTTGTTAAAATGGGTAATCTGACTGACTGAGTAATCTGAGGCAGGATGGGAGGTTATGCTTTCCTCACAAGCTGCCGACCAAAGCTGCAGATCAAAGCTGCAGATCACAGTGTAAGTGAAAGTGAAGTCACTCAGTCGTGTCCGACTCTTTGTGACCCCACGGACTGTAGCCCACCAGGCTCCTCCGTCCATGGGATTTTCCAGGCAAGAATACTGGAGTGGGTTGCCATTTCTCCAGAGGATCTTCCCGACTCAGGAATCGAACCGAGGTTTCCCGCAGATGCTTTGCTGTCTGAGCCACTTGGGAAGTCCTGCTGCTGCTGCTGCTGCTGCTGCTAAGTCGCTTCAGTCGTGTCCGACTCTGTGCGACCCCATAGACGGCAGCCCACTAGGCTCCCCGGTCCCTGGGATTCGCCAGGCAAGAACACTGGAGTGGGTTGCCATTTCTTTCTCCAATGCAGGAAAGTGAAAAGTGAAAGTGAAGTCGCTCAGTCGTGTCCGACTCTTAGCGACCCCATGGACTGCAGCCTACCAGGCTCCTCTGTCCATGGGATTTTCCAGGCAAGAGTACTGGAGTGGGGTGCCATTGCCTTCTCCAAGGGAAGTCCTAGAAGGGTCTAAATGTGCTGTTTAATAGGGTTTCCTTGCCGCTTGTGAATATTCAACATTATGGAATTTTTTGGGGTTTTTTTTGGTTGCACTAGGTCTTCGTTGCTGTCCATGATCTTTCTCTAGTTGTGGTCACTGGGGACTACTCTTCTGTGCCTGGGCTTCTTGTTGCTGTGGATTCTTTTGTGGAGCTCAGGCTCTATGCACTCTGACCTCAGTAGTTGTGGCACATGGGTTTAGTTGCTCTGGGGCATGTATGATCTTCCTGGACCAGGCGTTGAACTCCTGTCCCGTGCATTGGCAGGCGGATTCTTAACCACTGGACCACCAGGGAAGTCCCGGGAATTTTTAAATTTAGTCACATGCGACTAGTGGCTACCTTATTGAACAGTGAAGATGTAGAACCTTGCCATTGCCACAGAAGTTCTGTCTGGAAGACAAGTGTAAAGCTTTCTCCACCACTAAGCATTTATGCTCACTCGTTGTGAACCCCACTCTATGAGGTTATTACAAAAAGGACTGAAGTACTAGTTGAAGTGGGTTAGAATGTTCTTGCGATCCAGAATCTTGCTATGGTGCATCTCATCAGTGCTAAGAAAGTGAATGATTAGGGATCTTATTTTGAAAAATTGGTTTATTTTTGAAGAAGTCATCAGTTTACAGATGACTAAAAATTATTTTTTGATACTAGATGTTGAGATTTGTGTGTATGTGTGTGTTATTTTGGGTAGTTAACTTAGAAGGAGCTCAAAACACTGAGAGGTCTGGCTATAACAGAACTCTTTTATGTCTGCTTATGTATGTAAATAGGATTTATTATTATTTGCAACCCCTAGGACGCAATGGAACTTAAACTGAACTCTGACTTCCTAGTAGTAAGTAAGAGTCAGTTATACTAGATACATAAATTAATTGCCAGGGTCAGGTACTACTATTCCTGTCACTAAGCAATGCATTTTCAAAATAATCTGTTTTCTGTTTCTATCAAAATTTGCAGATTATGTTTGAATTCATTTTATGCTCATAACAATTATAATAATAACATAGAAGTTTTAACATTTAAAGAGTTATGGTCATGGGAAATTTTTAAAATTTAAACAATTTAAAATTTCAGTTTATATACATTTTTATTTTGGAGAAATATCATAGAATGATCAGTAGAGGTTTTTCAAGCATAAATGTATATTGCATTAGAATAAAATTCTCTGGAGATAATGAAATGAGAGTGTAAGTTCAAGAAAGTGTAAATTTTTCCAGGTTTCATAGTTAAGCATATTCATGTTGTTGTTTGTTTTGTTTCTGGCTCCCTGGAGTCTTAGTAGTGGTATGCAGGATCTTTAGTTGCCTTATGTGGGATCTAGTCCCCGCCCCATCCCACTTCCCCCACATTGGGAATGCAGAGTCTTAGCCACTGGACCAATAGGGAAGTCTCTCTCTCTTTTTTAAAGCAGATGTTGTGTATCAAATCAATATGGCATTTGGATCTTACTGTGTTCACTTAAAAGAATGATGTAACAGTTCTAGGATAATATGTTAATTTTTTCAGTACTCCAGAAGTTACATTTTTTGCCACTTAAAAATATTCATAAATTTTTCAGATCTTTAGAAATACAGGAACAAAAAAATTTGAACACCTCTGATATAGGTCACTTAGTAATTCTTTGCTTTTCTTCTTAAAATAAGATGGTGTTGGGTGGGAGTATGCATTCTACTATTAAAATATGATGATTTATGTGGGAAAAGATGACAACTTTCAAAAACACTTTGTTGTATAGTCTTTTGTTGATTTTTTTAAAATTGAGATATAATTGACAGGTAACATTACATTTGTTTCAGGTGTGTGTAATGACTGTATATATTGCATAATCATTGCCACAGTAAGTGTAGTTAACATAATTGCATTTTTTTTCTTGCGTTGGGAACTTTAAAGATCTCTCAGCAGCCTCCAAATACGCAAAACAGTATTATGAACTATGGTCACTATGCTGTGTATTATAACACATTTCCATGACTTATTATTTTATAATTGGAAGTTTGTATCTTTTGAATTCCTTCACCCATTTTGCCTCTCCCCTACTCTGCCTCTGGCAGCCACCAATCAGTTCTTTATATCTACCGATTTATCTTTGTGTTTATAAGACTACACATGTAAATAGATCATGAGGTATTTGCCTTTCTCCACCTAACTTTTACTTAAAGTCCCTTAATGCCCTTATGTGTTGAGCCAATGGCAATGTATTACACTTTGTCGTGGCTGAATAATTTTCCACTGTGTGTGTGTATGTACACACCACATTTTCTTTATCCATTTGTTCATTGATGGTTGTTTTGCAACTTAGGTTGTTTCCACATCTTGGCTATTGTAAATAATGCTCCAGTGAACGTGGGGGTGCAGATATCTTTTTAAGGTAGTATTTTCATTTTCCTTAGGTAAATATCCAGAAGTGGACTTGCTGGATGACATGAGAGTTGTTTTTAACTTTTTGAGGAACCTCCATATTACTTTCCACAGTGGCTGCACCAATTATCATTCCTACCATAAGTACAGAAGGGTTTTATTTCCTTTGCATCCTCACCAAAACTTATTATTTCTTGTTCTTTTGGTAATAGCCATTTGATATCTAATTGTGGTTTTGATTTGCATTTCCCTGATTATTAGTGATTTTGAGCATCTTTTCATATGCTTCTGGGCTATTTGTATGTCTTGTTTGGAAAAAATGTCTGTTCAGATCCTCTGCCCATTTTTTTGATCAGATCGTTTTTTGTTATTGAGCTATGTGAATTTTTTAAATATATTTTAGATACTAATCCCTTTTCAGAAATATAATTTGCAGATATCTTCTGCAGTTCAGAAGGGTACTCTTTTCGGGGGAGGGAGTGTTGCTAATGGCTTCCTTTGTTCTGTGGAAGCTCTTTAGTTTGATATAGTCCCATTTGTTTATTTTTACTTTTGTTGTCTTTGCCTTTTAAGTGAGATCCAAAGAAAAGTCACCAAGACTGATGTCAGGGAGCTTACCAGCTGTGTGTTATTCTAGGAGTTTTATGTTTTCAGGTCTTACATTCACATTTAATCCATTTTGAATTATTTGTTTTATGTATGGTGTATTATAATGGTCCAGTTTCATTCTTTTGCATGTGGTTGTCCTGTTTTACCAACAGTGTGTTATTAAAGAGACTGTCCTTTCCCATTGTGCATTCTTGGCTCCTTTCTCCGAAGTTAATTGAAATATGTGCTTGGGTTTATTTTTAGGCTCTCTGTTCTGTTGATCTGTTTATTTGTTTTTATGCCTATTAGTTTTGACCACGATAGCTTTATTAATATAGTTTGAAATCAAGGAGTGTGAAGTCTCCACCTTTATTTTTCTTTCTCAAGGTTGCTTTGGCTATTTGGGATCTTTTATGGCTCCAAAGAAATTTTAGGATTGCTTTATTTCTGTGAAAAGTACTATTGGATTTTTGATAAGGATTGCATTGAATCTGCAGATTGCTTTGAGTAATGTGGACATTTTTACAATATTAATTCTTCCAAATATGAGCATGGAATATCTTAATTTGTGTCATCTTCAATTTTGTTCATTAGTGTCTTATACTTTTTAACGTACAGGTCTTTCACCTCCTTGGTTAAATTTATTCTAAGGTACTTTGTTCTTTTTGAGGCAATTGTTTATGGCATTGTCTTCTTAATTTCTCTGATAGTTTGTTGTTAGTCTGTAAAAACAATAGATTTTTGTATATTGATTTTGTACCTTGCAACTTTATTGAGTTCGTTTATTCTAACAATTTTTTGTGAAGTCTTTATAGTTTTCTAAATATAAAATCATGTCATCCACTT